TGGGGCGAAGTTCCGAGTCGATTGCTCGTGTTTGCGCGCATTGCTCCAGGTAGTCACGTTTTTTTGAATTTCTGGTACCTCTCGGATCCTGGAGAATCTTCACAGCAGTTATATGTTCAAGACGCCAGAATTAACAAGGCTCGCAGATATGTCCTTCGTTTCAACCATAGTGTCGTTGCCAGATCGGAGCAAGGTGGCGAAAACGGACCCTTCTTCTTGTTGGCCATCTTCACCCCGATGATATCACAAGACTGGATGAGATTTGCGACGGGCGGGCCGGGGTGTGCAGTCGCCCTGGCCGGCCGCATTTTCAGCTCGAGGGGGCCTCGCCTGAAGGGGCGATGTGGACCGCCATTGCCAGCCCGTGTCCCCGGCCGCTCAACCGTGTGCCTAGCGAAAGCTCTCAAGTCTCGGGCTACAGGTTTGTTTTTCCAAGTTTGAGAGTACATCCTGTTTCGGGATGCCACGGGATCAGATTTTATACCATATTTCAGAGAATAGCTGCAGCCGGCGAAATCAAGATTTCGGCTGGTTCTCGCGAGGGTTCTGTGGTACTCATGAGAAACAGTACAGCAGAAAACACTTTACACTGCTGCGCAGTTCTCCGCCCCAGCTCCAAGACAGCATGGGGGTGCGTGCGCTAGAATGTTGTAAAAGGAGCGACCCTGTCGTTTTCTCGAGGCTCGTGCCTCACCGTGTTGTCCCCTTCTCCCGTGCGCGCGGGCGCGGCGATAACTGCGTTTCGGCCCTGTGTTGGGCGCGTTCGTGGCGCCCGCGTTCCGTGCCTGCTTTGTTTGGGATTGGTTCGGTTCGGATCTTCAGTCAGCTCTCTGTGGCTGCCTCTTTTTTGGCTCCCGCCGCCAGCACAAGGCCTTCCGTTCCAGCTAATTTATTCCTTGTTCGAATGCAAAGCACTGTGGGGATCAGATTATGCGCAGTTCTCCGTCCCAGCTCAAAGACAGCATGATAATGGTGATGATGGTGGTGATGATGACGAGGGTGCGAATGATGAGGATGATGATGCTGAAGCTGCTGCTGAGGCTGATGTTGATGATAAGGGTAATGTTGTTAGTGATGATGAAAGTGATGAGGATGATGATTATGATGCTGCCGATGGTCATGATGATGGTGGTGATGGTGGTGATGACGATGTTTATGATGATGACGGTGATGGTGGTGGTGGTGGTGGTGGTGGTGGTGGTGGTGGTGGTGGTGGTGGTGGGGCTGGGGAAGCGGAGAGGGTGCAAGGGTAAGACAGGGTGGACGAGGACGAGGAGGATGCGGACGAGGAGGATGATGTGGAAGGAGGAGAAGAGGGAGGAGGTGGAGGAGGTGGAGGAGGAGGTGGAGGAGGATGATGATGAGGAGGAGGAGGAGGACGACAAGGACGACGAAGAGAATGCCGATAACGAGGACAGGGAGAAGGAGGGGTCAAGGCGGAGAACTGTGAGGAGGTGAAGGTGGAGGAAGGGCAACATGTTGTGGGTGGCTTCCTCCGCCTCTGCCTTCTCCTCCTCTTTTGGCTGCCTCTTTCGCTCCAGAGTGGGATTCCTTCGGGCGATGCCTAATACTTGACTTTCATGTAGGCTCTCTCTCTCTACGATGCGTTTCCCCTCTAGCCGACCGCATCGTGGTTGCACGCAGGCCTCACCGAGATCGCTGCTTGGAACAAGACGATTCGGGAGCGTGAGGGAGGAAAAGCTGGAGGCTGAGGACAAGCGGGAGGGCGACGAAGAGGGCAACGAGCAGGGCGAGTGAGAGGATAATGGGGCGGTCAAGAAAAAGCAGGGAGATGGTGGAGGGAGGAAGCAGGGAGGAGGGGTAGGAGAAGGAGGAGGAGGAGGACGACAAGGAAGCACATGAAGTGGGTGTGGCGGATGACGATGGGCAGGAATAGGCGGAGGAGGACGTGGAGTAGGAGGACAAGCATGAGGAGCAGGGAGAGGAGGCAGAGGAGGGTTGGAGGGTAATCTCTGATAGTGTATTAGTGAGGAAAAGGGGAATATCAGGAAGAGGGGACGACGACAAATGACACCAGATGTTGGAGATTGGGTCGATGGAGAGGAGACTGGGGCGAAGGTTGACTACGACGACTAGGAAGGTGAGCATGATGCGGAGGCGGAGGAATTGTAGGATGGCCGACGGGCAGGGGATGACGACGAGAAGGACAAACAGGAACAGCACGATGAGGAAACGCCTCCACATCCCCGCCTCGTGCTGCTCCTCAGTGGAATCACCAGCGTCGTCTCACAATTTCTTGTCCTTCAGTACGAGGCGCCAGATCCGATCTGCCTGAAACCAGCCAGGTCACCCGGGGGGGCGCGAAGATCTCCGCGCTGCGCGCCTCGCGGTCTGGGCAGCGGCGGCTGCCTTTCTCCGAGGGGGGGGGCGCGAGGGCGAGGGCGAGAGGGCGCGAAGATGACCGCACGCCGCCCACCGCGGGGCGCGATGCGCGAAGCTAGGCGACCCGGAGTCTCCAGGCCCGCCCCTGAGACGGAAGAGACCTTCGCACATGAGCCCCAAACAACGGCCTCAAAATCTACCAGGCCTGCTTTTGCACCTCAAGCCCTTTTGCAGGCCCCTGCAGGGCTTCGTTGTGGCACCATCCTGACCCGTTGGCCGAAGCCTGCGCCCGGCCGGGACGACGAGGAGGGCTGCGCTGCCGACGTCTGCGCCCAGCCCTGAGGAGCCCGCGCCTCGGGAGGATCCGCCCGGCTCTGTGGGGGGGGGGGGGGAGCTCGAGGGCATGGGGCAGACGGGTCCTGGAGGAGCGGGAGGAGCCATAGGCCGCCAAGCATTCCACCGCCGCGGGCAGCACGACACCAGTGCAGACTGTGAGCTCCAACGCGCGGTCGGTCGCATGCTGTTGGGGGGGGGGGCAGCCTTTTGTGCGAGCTGCACCCTGGGGCCGTACCAGCAGGCCAGCTGTCAACCCCGAGTCTTTTTGCTGACGTTCCTGGGGCCCGCGGACCCGCGGAGGGCTCCGGAAGCACGAAAACAGCCTAAAACATCGGACAGGCCATCTGCGCTGGAGGCACACGAGAGGCTCCAGGGGAGAGCCCCGGGGGGGGGGGGTTCTGGTGTGCGGAGGCTCTTGGGAGGCCATCGCTCGGGGGCATCCAGGAAGGGGGGGGGATAGGTAAGAGTGGATAGCATGGCTGGGACTAGGAAATCTCTAGGGTTTCATGGTTCCCTCCTTTTCTTTCAGCGCGCTCTTCGGCCCTCACCCGCTGTTTTGCGCACATGTGTCTGGCCATCGTGCGCCCCCCCCTCCTCTTCGTGCATCCCTCTCTTCGGCGCACCAGGCTGGTTTGTGGAGGCTCTTGGGAGGCCGTAGCGGCGGTTCCGCAGGAGGGAGTGGTAGGATAGGGCCGGATTGGTAATACTGTAGCAAGGTGTTCTTACGATCTCGGGAGCTCTTGGAAGCCACTCGGCCAGGGGCCTCGTCCCCGCGGCTGGAAATCAGAGCACTTTCGAGGAGGTGAAGCAGTTCTTCGTTCGTCGGGTGTCATACCCACGAGGACGTCAAACGGGAGTTCAGCTGAGATCTGGGGGGCAACAGAGGAAGCAGAGAGTATCATTGTGAAGACAAAGCGAGGGCGAGAGAGAGAGAGAGAGATGGAAACAGAGAGAGAGAGAGAGGAGGAGTACGAGTCATTGGTTGACTGGTGTTTAGGTGCAAGTAGTATTGAAAAGGTGGAGGTGCCTGTCGGCCTGGGCCCTCCCTAACGGCCACCTTCGTTTAAAGAGGGGCCGCCTTCGTTGGCCGAGAGGGCTCACCTAGCAGCGGATTCTGACGGGCAGATGGAGCCCCAGCCATTTTGGCTACAGGCGTGTCTCTGGGGGTGTGTAGGGCGCTCGCGGGGGCCCAGGAAGCTGCCACTGCCGCCCGGACAGCTCGCCCTTGATCGGCACTTCAGCTGTGGCGGCGCGCCCACCTGGCCGTTGCGCAGCAATGTTCGGCGGCGTCTCGACATCGCAGAGGAGGGGCAGGGACCACCCCCACCGAGAACCCCCAGCGGTGGTGGGCGATCCCTGGGGCTGCGGCGCGCCTGAGCGCCACGCAGGACCGGACGACGCTCTGGCGTGCCACCGCCTAGGAGTGGGTCCCCCTCTCGATGGGTTCGGGGGTGGACAGAACCCCCAACAGTGACACGTCGATTAGTGAATTGTCCGTTTTCGGTTCTCGAGAGGGCGCCGTGGCCGTTATTTTCCAGGCTTGCGCCCGCCAGGTTTGGGCCTCAAGTCGTTTTCACTAAACCACGTTTTACTAAAGGGAGGTCTGTCCATCCCCGATGGGTTCTCTCGGTGGCGGTGGTCCCCGCTCCTCGTCTGAGCTTCGCCGTTCCCGTCGCCGTTCGCGTCGCCAGTCTCGTCGCTGGGGTCTCGGCCCTTCTCTGGCCCGAGGCTGGGCCGCTGCAGGGCGGACTCGGAGGCCTCCACCGCCGTCTCCGAGCCCGACGCGGAGGCGGGGCTCGGCTACCCCTGGGGGCCGCCGAGGTACCACAAGCCCGGCGCCTGCAGCGGGCGCTGGGCGCCGCTGGAGCAGCCGCTGATCCAGGGCTCGGTTTCGAGCCGCGGCGTGCTGTTGCCGGCGGGCCGGGCGCTTGCGATTGCCGTGCTGCTCACGGCCGCAGCCGCCGGCGCGATCGCCGGGTGGTCGGGGAGCATCCTGTGGCTCTCCAGCGAGGGCGGGTGGCCTCCGGCGAGGAGCGCGCCACGGGGGCAGCGGGTCCTGAGGGAAAGGGGCCCGTGTTTTTTTTTTTTTTTTTTTTTTTTTTTTTTTTTTTTTGTTGTTCCCTTTTGGAGCTTCTCGGGGCCCTCCACAAGCCCCGGGACTGGCAGAAAGCGGCTCGGGATGAAGAACTCGTCGGGGGGGGGGGGGGGGACCCAGGGTCCCTGACCCGCTGCCCTCAGGACCCGTTTTCCTCTGGCTGAGGAGCGCGGGCCCGCGAGACGTGGCTCTCCAGGACGCGCCTCTCCTCGGCGAGAGGGCGCGCATGTCCGTGATGGGCAGGGACGTCTGGGTGTACGCGCCTAAGGCGTCGCAGTTCGCCAACCAATCGCTGCCCGCGGTGGCCGAAGGGCAAAAAGCAGCACAGCCATGATTTTTGGCGGAGTTCCTCGCGGATTTCTTGGATCGGCGCTGGGGCACTCCTGGCAGTGCCACTGGCGCCGCCCCCTGGCGCGCTCCGCGCGCAGGGAAGGGGTCAAGCGCCGATAGCGCGGACCTCGGAGACAGTCTGTCTGTGCAGGTTTTTGCTCCTCTAGGTGGTGGTACTGCACGGCACCGCAGACTACGCTCTCTCAATCGCGAACACCTCGCGCTTCGAGCAGCTCGCAGAGTCCTCCTCGAAGCCCTTCCTCGCGGTGTTCCCCGAGATGTCCACGCCTGGGGGCGAGATCTGGGGGTACATGGACGACCTGCCGTTTTTCCGCGCTCTGGCTGACAGCCTGGACGCGCGGTTCGCGCTCGACCGGGACGAGGTCTACGTGTGCGGCCACTCGGCGGGCGGAAGCATGTCGATCTTCTTGCAGAACAATCTGCCGAGTGTCTTCAGCGGTGCCGCGGCTGTCGAGGCGGGCATCGGCGGTCTGCCGTGGTGGAACGAAGAGAGCGTCGGCAGGCCCACGATGCTGGTGTGGAACCACAACGACCCCGTGCTCCGCGAGTTTGGCGGAGAGGCTCTGCTGAACAACACGCTGAGCAAGCTCCGGCGCCATGCCGCCTCGACCGACCAGCGGCCGTCTTTCTCTATGCCAGTGGCCACGTTCAACGCCTCAGTCGTCAGGCGGGCCGAGCGGCTGCTGTACGGGGCGTCGGGCTCGTCTCCGCCGCTCGCCGTGGTCTCCTGGGAGACGGCGCTGCCCACCCACCACTGGTCGAACCCAGTCAACGTGCCAGGGTCATTCGACGCGTCTGCCCTCATCTGGGATTTCTTCCAGAGCACCCGGGTCTTTGAGAGACGGTCGCGATAGTGTTGTGGCTCTCCCACACATTGGCCTTCCTCTACTTCTGATGGGCCTTGCCGTAGGCTTTTCCAGGTCCGTGGGCAAGTGCCCAACAAGAGCGGTTGCGCATATCAAGTGAATCGCGATGTCGATACGGAGTATGCGCTATCCGCTAGCACAGCCACGAATTCGTTTGAACAAATATATATTTGGTTGCCAGCGTGGACCCCGAAGAGTGAGTCATGACGCTCTGTAGATCGTGGTGCACGCTGTGCGGTGCAACCTATGTGGTGCAATGAAATGCGGGCACCTGCTCGCGACAAGCTGTCGTGCTCGAGCAAGGCTCCGACCCTTCCACCTTACAAATTCTGAGCAAAACTCTGGCAGGTTGTGAGTGCAGTTCCAAACCGGACCTCACTCGAGGATATCAAGGGGTGCAGTGAAGCGCACACCCTGCGCATGCAGATCCGTGACTCGGGTGGGCGAGGAATGATGGTTACGACGACATCGGCGACGACGATGATGGCGATGGCGATGATGAGGAGGACGACGACACCGACGATGGCGGTGATGACGAGGGTAGTGGGAATGACGACGACGATGGTGATGGTGATGGTGATGATGATGATGGTGGTGATGGTGATGATGATGACGGTGAGGATGATTCGGATGATGATGATTATTCTGATGATGATGGTGATGATGGTGATGGTGATGGTGGTGACGACGATGAGGATGATCAGGATGATGATGTTGTTGTTGATGATGATGATGATGATGATGATGATGATGGTGATGGTGATGGTGATGGTCGTGGTGATGATGACGATGATTATGAGCATGATGATGCTGATGATGATGATGATGGTGATGATTGTGATGATGATGCTGATGGTGGTGGTTGTGATGAGGTTGATGCAATTGATGCGGATGACAATGTTGACGCTGGTGATGGGATTAACGATTGGGCTTAAGCGGGTGATGAGGTTAATTGCGCGCAGCACATGCAACCTTCAGGCTTATATGTGTGATTGAAACCCATTAAGCTATCGTCTGCGATTGGATAGCTCTGTGTCGGCATGCTTAGAAAACCATTGGTCTTGGACAGGTTTCGACTCGCCCGAGCGGAGATGCGCGCGTGTGGCCCGCATTTATCTAATTGACAGAGGTGGCGAGCTTTTGACGATTATTCGAGGTTTACGACATGCGCGCGCGCCCTCGAGCCGTTGCTGCCGCAGCGGCTCGTCGCGCTTCCGCCTTTGCCTCCGCTCTTCGAGCGGTCCTTCTCGCCATTGCGGCCCCTGCCGCGGCCGTCCGAGCGGCCCTGGCTGCTGCCGCTCGGCGAGCGGGGCTTCTTTTTTGGGAGGTCCTGGGCGGCGCGGCTGTCCGAGCCCTCCTGTGGCTGCGGCGGGGATGCCCTTGGCGGCCTCCTGTTCTGCTGGAGCTCCTGCCTCGCTGTCTCTTCGATGTTCTCCTCCCTCCTGCCCTCGATGCGGATGCGGTAGCGGTCCTGCTTCAGGTCCGAGTTGTACTTCACGTCGTTGTGGGCGCGCACCAGGTCCTTCCTCGAGATGGTGAGGGCCTTGACCAGGTGCTCTTCGAACTGAACGTTGTTCTCAACGGAGGGGTCGTCCATCGAGCGCCAGTACGCTCGCTGGCCCTGCTTGCGCATGAGAGCGAACGAGCGCGGTGGCCAGCGCGCGTAGGAGCGCTGCACCATGGAGCACTTGCTGTTGCAGCTCGCACACCACCACGCGTTGGCGCTCTCCTGGGCCAACTTGAAGCGGACGCTCTCCGCATCCCGCCCGCACTTGGCGCGAGGCGGGCCGAAGCGAGGCGGCTCGTAGCCTGCGGCGAAGGCGCCTTCGTCAAGCGCGTGTTCCTCTGCGGGAGCGGGAGGTGCCGCTGAGGCCGCGGCCTCCTCCGCCTGCTTCTTCCCGTCGTTCGGCGGGGGTGCCGCCTCTGTTGCTGCCTGCTGCTTTGCCTTTGCCTCGCCGCCCTTCTTCACGCCTGACTTGGCCTGCTGCTTTACCTTGGCCTTGCTGCCCTGCGCGCCCTCCGGCGCTTTCGACGGCGGCGCCCCGCCTCCCTTCTGCGCGGCCAAGAACGCAGAAAGCGAGGGCTGCACGGAGGGCTGCGCGGCGGCGGGGCGGCGGAGGGCGGCGCCATTCTTCACCGGTGGCGCCCTCGCAGGCGCCGCGGCCTTCTCGGGCGCAGGCGCCGCGGTCCCCTTCGGCGGCGGCGCAGGCGCCGCGGTCCCCTCTGGCGGCGGCGCAGGAGCCGCGGCCATGGGCCAATGCCAAGGCGCCGCTGCCTTCGCCGTGGGCAGGGCCGCCTGCGCGTCCGAGGCCACCTGCTCCTGCGCCTCGCCCTTTACCTGCCTCGAGGCCCCCTCGTCGTCCGTCGCCTCGGCTGTCTTCACGTCGGGAGCCGCCATTGCGCGCGGAGCTGCGCGCAACGGCTCGCGGGCCCAAAACGGCTGTGAGAGGAAATCGTAGGAGGGTGGAAGGGGACAGGGGCATGGCGGATGAGACAGCAATGCGCGCGCGATAGGAGCAACGGGCGGCGCGCCGCCGAAGACGCGCGGCGCAATGCCACAGCAGCGATGGGCGGGGCGCCGCCGACAAACACGTGCAAACAACGGGCGGCGCGCCGCCGACAACGACGACAGATGGGCGGTGTGCCGCCGACGAAGACGTGCAAACAATGGGCGGTGCGCCGCCGACAACGACAACCGATGGGCGGTGCGCCGCCGACGAGCACATGCAAACAATGGGCGGTGCGCCGCGGACAAGGCCAACCGATGGGCGGCGTTCCGCCGACGAGCACGTGCAAATGAGGTGGTGGTGAGGTGGCGAGAATGGGAGATGGTGATGGTGATGACGAGGTGCAGCGTAGAGCGATCGCACTGCAAAGGTGGTCGGCCGTCGCACCTGCACGTGCACTTGCGGCGCGAACGACAACGCAGGGCACGTTCTTTAACCGCTGGTGCGCGGGTGAGACAGACGCGCGCATGCGCCTGCCGAGTGCAGTAGCATGGGCGGCACGCCGACCCAGCTCACGCAAGCTCCGCCAGCTCATTCAGAGCTGCGGCCGCTCAGTCAGAGCTCACTCAGAAACCATCTGCAAAACAAAGGCACGCAGTCGCTCCGCGGGCGCATGGCCGCGAGAGCTGTCAACCAGGGGGTAGGTTCGGATAACGAGGGGACGCGATGGCATCGAACTTGGAAGTCGACGGCGCAGCCGCCGCAGTCGTCGTCGTCGTCGTCGTCGTCGTCGTCGGCGTTGGCGTCGGCGTCGGCGTCGGCGTCGGCGTCGGCGTCATCGTAGTCGTCGCCGTCGTCGCCGCCGTGGTCGCTGTCGTCGCCGCCGCGGTCGCCGCCGCCATCGTCGCGGACGTCGTCGTTCGGCGTCGGGCGCCGACGTCGAGAGGCGACGAACGGCGACGACGGCGACGAGGCCGCCGACTAAGCCTAGGACAGCAAGGACGACGGCGACGGCGACAGTCGTCGGCCACGCGCCACCGCGGCCGCCGACGTCGCAGTTTTGGTCGTCGTCGTCGTTGTTTTCGTTGTCGGCCTCGTCGTCGGTCTCGTCGTCGGCCTCGTCGTCGTCGTCGCCCTCGTCGTCGTCGTCGTCGTCGTCGTCGTCGTCGTCGTCGTCGTCGTCGTCGTCGTCGCCGTCGCCGTCGCCGTCGCCGTCGCCGTCGCCGTCGCCGTCGTCGTCGCCGGCGTCGGCGTCGTCGTCGGCCTCGGCGTTGTCGTCGCCGCCGCCGTCGCCCGCCCGCAAACTTTTTGCCTGCGGCCCCCGCAAGCGGCTCTCGCGGACCGTCCCGCGAGCAAAGAAGAGGACGGCAGGAGCCCGTGGCCTGCCGCGCGCGCCGCCGCGACAGCCTGGAACGGCCTCGCGGGGCGAAAAGTGAGGGCAGGCAACACTGAAGACGAGTTCCGGACATCAGACGCCGACCGAGAGCCTTCCCGCCTGCCACGCTCCGAGTTCTTGCCCGCCCCCACCGCCCTCCGCACCTCCCCCCTGCACCCAAATGCCCCCGCCCCCCCGATCTCTCAGTCGGCGTCGGACCTCCGAGGGGCCACAGGCCCTTGCTGGCCTCAGGGCCCGGCGCCCCTCCGAGCGCGGCGCCCCTCCGAGTTCTTGCCCCCGCGACGGGGCCCCGGGCCCTCGCAGGGCTCAGGCCGCGCTGTCTGCAGCCAGCTCGACAGGGTCTCCTGCAAGTCGCCCAGCGCGGCTCGCTCGGCCCCGGAGGCGGTGAGCGAGCGCTGCGCCACCTCTTCGCGCGCGTGCGCGCACGTGCGCGCCCTCGTCACGCTGTCCAGGATGACCTGGCACTGCTGGCCCGATAAGGTGGCGGACTGCTCCAGCGCCACCCCCGCCGTGACTGGCGCCGACGGGCCTGCGATGTTCCAGCGCCATCGGGGCCCCCTTGCCAGACCCCTTCGGGAAGGCCGCCAGCGCGGCGCTGGAGCTCAGCTGGCCCACCCGATCCGCGACGCACGGGTTCGACCTGGCGCTCTTGCGGCGGTTGCTGCGGGCCCAGTGCTCGTCGCGCATCTTCTGCCAGCGCTCCCACTCGTCGGCGTCCTCGGCCCACTCCTCGTCTTCGAGGCGCGCCCCGCCCCGCTCGCGCCATTCGTCGGACCTCGGTGGGCCGAGCGCCGCCGAGGTCCGCCGAGAGGCGTGGGCGGGCGTGCGTTTGGGCGCGCGGGCCGTCGCGGCAGTGACCTGGAGCTCCGCGTCCTCCTTCTCCAGCAAGTGGTAGCTGCTCTTCTCCAAGTGGTTCTGGAGGCGCATCGCCGCCTCCTCCTTCGACGCGCCCTCGAAGTAGTGCCCCCCCCTTGTTGCACTGCCCCGACAACGGGCAGCTGTAGCCCGTGGCGACGGGCATCGGCGCCGCGGCGGGGCGCGAGGGCGCGCGCGAAAAGGGAGGGCCGCCCGCGAGAGCGCGCGAGGGAGGGGCACGGCGCGAGCTCGAGCCCGAAACTGCGCGAGCGGAAAACATCAAAGGGGGA